CATACCTTTTCTTCCTATCAGAAAAAAGAGAGCTGCAATGTGTCCCCTCCTGCTTTACAAACAGTAGCAGAATATAGTCATTTAAAATTTCCTCCTCCTTTTACAACTTAAAACTGTTCCCGGCTTTAACAGTCTTTGCAATGTTTATACCTTTGGCAGTTTGAAAATAGTATTCAAAGTCTGAACAGATAGCCCGGAATTACTGTTATTATTTGCATTGTAACTTGTGTGACATTATATTTGGTCAAGTTGTGTTTTCTGAAGTGAATCTGACTCGATGAAATATAACATGATGCAGAGTCTAGCATCCGTTCCCATATTACTAGCTACCATTTGGAGATTAGCTATTCGGTGAGTATTTGATAATGGGTTTTGGTACATCATTTATTGGAAGATTTATGTATTTGACTTGTCTGTGGAGAGTTTATGACCACAGATACTGAATGCATTAGAATTTACTGCCTGCGCATATCTCCATTAAATTTTACAGGCAGAAACTTAATAGTAGAAATCTAACAAGTTGTTTTTACAGAAAATTGGACATAAATTACATAAATCACTATTGTTTTTATTTGCTTTACTACTGTTACAAAGCCAGTTAACAATGCTAATTTCTAAACCACTCACAAATACTATGTAGAAGCCAAATGTTTTTCTTGAGAACAGCTTTTTTTGACACTTTGGGCAGTGATGTGTGCGTTGTCCTGGGTTTTATCAACTGTAAAGTGAAAGAATATAGCTTACTGAACTTTCTCTTTACAGAAACCTAGGTGATTTCCCTAAGCTTTAATCATTTGGTGCTCAAAGAGAGTTGAAGATTTTGCTTATAGAACAGTTTACAAGTTGACAGGATCAAAGATGCTTTCTGGGTGAATCCAGAGGTTTTTTATTTCTCTTCTGCATTTACTACTGTTGCCAGAGGTCATTGAATAGAATGATTTATTCTTCTTTCAGAACAATATAATGTTTTTTCATAGACACTGAAAGTAAGAGTTAGATAAACACGTCATATGGTGAAAATGTTCAAGCATAACTGAGTTTACTTTAAGAAATAAAACTTTGGAGTCACAAGACAGGAGAAATAGAAAAAATGGAGCCTAATTCTTTACCCATTCATGCAGTACTTGCACAGTCTGGACCAGTCTGGCTGTAAGTAGGTACTTTGTCAATGTTAATATTTAATATTATGAAGAATAAAATAATAAACAGATGCAATGTCAGAGAAGATAATTTCCTGTGTTGGGTGTTTTTAACTCCCAAATGTCCTGCAAAAACTAGTGAGAAAAACACAAGCCATAAGAAAATTAATTATTTTTTTCAACTTCAGTGACGCCAAGAGTATGTTGTAGGTAAAGCTGTATGAATTGCATGACAATAAAACTAACCAGCAGACATACAGCCTGCCACATGAAGTGTATTTTTTCTGTACTGCCTTCTACAGAACGCAGTTTAGTATCACCTATAAACACAGGACTGCTAGTGACTTCACTAGGACGGATGGATGAAGAGAAGCTCTGAATCTGTTGCAGGCTTACGATAAATGAACAAATACGTTGTAGTTTTGTGTCCAAAATCCTGCCATTCTCAAACTTTGGTAAATTACAAGTGACTGATAATGGCAGCTCCTCATTTTAAAAAACTCAAACCCAGGAAATCACAGAATTCCCAGTTATAAGAAAAGGACACTGATGCAGCAGAAGTTATGTATGTATCAAGATCCCGGAGATCATTGTGGACCTTTGAGTTAAGTTTTTTTCAAACTTAAAAAAAGTAATTGCCATTCCAGAACATTTACTGTGTAAATGTCCAAATCGGAAGTTATGATACTGTTATCATTAAAAGGATGACAAAATCTCATATTTCTGTTGTTACCTGTCATCATAACATGGTATAGGATCTTTTCAATACAGGCCTGGATTTGCATCTGAGTGCTTAGTTTGTAGTGCATGTACTAACTGTGAGAAGGAGAAGCTTCCTGGAAATGAACAGTGGGCAATGGAAGCCTGTGGGCTCTGTCAAGAATTACATGTCCTAAACATGTAGAATGTTATGGTGAAGCTATTTTAGTTCTTTAGTTACTGACTATTTTTATGAACTGAGAACCGACGGACTGTTAGGTAAAAACAAATAGGCAGATCAGTTGGCGGTATAATGTTTGAAGCGTTCCACGCACCGTATCCCTCACTTGAAAAAAGTCTCTCTATCTTAAGTGGACGTGGATAAAGACTGTTCACCTCACAGACAGATTCCCATTCCATGCCCTTGCTAAGCACCAAGGATACCATTATAGACTTCAGAGTAATTGTGACGTTTGACCAGTGAAACATTATCATCCATTCTGCATTAATCCCAGGTGCCAGAGTTTTAACCTCTTTTCTTTGTGCTTCTGTTTCAGCTTCCGATATGGCTGCGGAACAGGGACAGATTCTTGTAATTGCCACTGCTGCTGTCGGTGGATTCACTCTCCTGGTCATCCTGACTTTGTTCTTCCTAATCACCGGGAGGTAATTAATGCTACGCCGTTCTCACTTACTCAGGATTAGAGTCATCTAAAAGAGAGAAGTCGTGATAGTTAAGTCTTTAAACCACTTTTTTAGTGCTAAAAGACAGGTTAGACATAGTGGGGTTAATATCCTCTTTGTTCAGCACTGCTCACATTCACAGTTCTATTGTGAGTCTTGCGGCATGTTGTTTTTCTTAAACCCAAGTTTTGGGAGATACATGATTATATGACATCAGAAAATAGCTTTGCTGTTTTTGAAATGACTTTCTTACCCTCTTCCTGCAGAGCAAGAGTTTAAAAATAATATCCACCTGCACCCTAAAGGCTCTGACATCAAAATCTCATAACTGTCTGTCAATTCCACAGCTTTGGAGGGCTTAACCTTAGGATTTTTAATGGTTTGAGGTTTGCAATATAGCTTGCTAAAGGCACTTGAGTGGCCAATTTTTAATTAATACAGCAATGTATGCATTTTGTATACACACTTCTGCATCTATTGAGAGAAAATGTAAAATAGCATAATGAAATTAAGCTGAAGAAAACTTTACTCTCAAATACGACGACGATTCTAGTGCCTGTGATATCATTTGAGACTGCAAAATAGCCTCCTGAAGGTTCTGTTAGATTGGGGGGTTTAAAATTGGATTGAACATATCCCAATTATATCTACAGTAAAGCAATACGGTTGCACTGGTAGGGGAATTCACTGGTCTGGACAATGATTATTTTTTATGACTTCTCTGATTCTTACACTTGCAATTCTATTTCCCTCCTTTTAGTGCAGTGCTAATTGTCTACCTTCCTTCATTTGATATGTTGGACAGGATCAAATAATAACATTGATTTGAGGGTTCAGATGCCATGCTCAATTACACACGCTAAGTTTGAAGGCACTCACCAGTTCTTAATGGACTTGCTCAAAAATGCACATAGAGATCAGAATATCAGCCCTTGCCAGAGCTCAGATTCTCACATGCATAACTGCATTCACGATACTTTGTTTTCTTTTTCACCGAGCCTCAGGATATTTTCCATGTGTCTTCCAGAGTTCATCTACTCCCGCCGGAAAACAAAGTAGAATTTACAAAGAAAAAGGCAGTATGTTCCCATCCCCTCTGTAAGATGTTAGTGGCACCGCATTGCTGCCATGGGTCAAGAAGGCCTTAAAAAAGACCGATACTCTGTAGAGATGTGGGGCCTCCATGCAGAGGGAGCTAGGCTCCTAGCAGTAAGCTCTGTAGGCAGGTTTGTTGGGATGCTCTGGCCCCTGTCTACCCTTTCTCTGCTCTCAGTATCTCCCCTCTCCCTCCTTCAGACACAAAAAACAAGCAGTGGAAGAGCCTCTGTGTGAGGAGGATTCTCCACGGATTTTCCTTCTTACTTGATTTTGGGACAGAAAAGATCCGTAATTTGAATGAGATTCTTCACTATTCCTCTTCTTGTTTGGAGTCTGTATTTGCATGTAGGGAAAAGGCAGAGCTCTGCTGAATGTAATAATGATCATTACAGACTGCACTGATACCACTAAGTGGTGCCACGCTTTCAAATTTGTTTTAAGTTGCCATTTTTTTGTTACAGCATTACCTCTAATTGAAAAAAAGTGAAGTGCTACCAGTGTAGGTTGGAGGTTTTATTGGCAGTATTGCAGCACTGCAGTAGCTACCATTATGTGAATTAATGTGGTCTGTACTAAATAACAGAACCAATTGTTCCAACACTCCATTGAATTTAATGGGAGTAGTTAGCATTGGAACATATTGTGACCTTAAATAATCCTAGAATGTAAGGAAATATTACCTGACTACCTTTGACTACATACTGACAAACATTAGTCTTTCAGGGGAAGGAGGAGCTACTTAGACAAAGATAAGCTCTTGGAGAAATGATTGTATGGAATCCTCAAGTGGAATTCCTGAAACATCATGGGAATGCTTCCCTTGGAAAGCACTCAGCAAATTCAGCAATGAAAAAAAATGTTGAAATGAACATTCCTGAGTTCTTTCTGCTTTTATTCCTCCTGTTTTTGTTAATGTTAAGGTTATCCGAAGTTCTTTTAGCTTGGCTTTCTAACATCATGCTGAATGGGACTATTTCAATTACATAATATATGAATTCATTCTAAAGTGTTGCTTAAACGCAGTGATGAGTGCATTCTGTAGAAGACAGTGCAAGAAAATTTTGAATAAATACTCAATTTACTATAGGATTGGAGTCAAATTTTGGCATGAAAAATGGGATTGGTACCCTACAGATGTGCTCTGCTTCACTGTTTAGAATTAGCAATTTGATGAGCTGTTGAGTCACAAGGCTGCTGATGAGTCTATTCATACTGGAGAGGCTGGGTAAAATGAGCACCTGCCTCTGTGCTTCCCTGCGTGATTATCCACCAAGAGCAAGCAGGAAGCACGGCTGTCAATTGCAGAGAGCATGAAAGCAGCGCTGACTTGGAGGCAAAGAATGTGCAGGGAGATGGGGCTCTTGGCTGAATTTCAGAAAATGCAATATTAAAGCTCAGTGTGATTTATTCTTATCATTAGAGAAGTTATTCCTGTCTCATTGTTCAGTAGCTAATAATACTAGGAAGTAGGAAGCCAGAACTGAAAGACTCCACTGCTATTGATTTCCCAGTGGGCTTCTGTAGTCAAACTTTAGGGTTACGTACATACTTGAGAGAACTGTTCAGGGTTAAGGCCTTATTTCCTTGACTGGGTTCCTCTGGGAAAACTCTAAGTGGAAAAGCTAGTGTTCAAAGTTTTCCGTGGTGGTTAGGACCCTACAGACCAGTCGTCCAGGTCCTAAGAACAGCACTGGCACGCTTAGTGGTCCCAGCAGCAGTTGTACACTCTCAGGTTTACCAGAGAGGCTGAGAATCCAGCTATTTTCCTCCATAAGGGTGCACAACCGCAAAAACAGGTGCCCTGCAAATAACAACTAATTGTGATAGTTAACAAAGTTAGCACCCTTCAGGTGTTCAGCATCTGCTCTACAGCAATGAATGAATTTGTGAGTGGTCCTAGTGTGTTTCAGCAGCTTAAATGAACCCTTGAAATGAGGTGGGTGTATTCACGTGTTTGTCATATCTCCATTATTATTATTTTAATGGCTATAATATCCATAATTATAGATTATTTTGTTTTATTATAAGGCTGATAATGAACACACAAAGGTGGGTCACTTTTTCTAGCTGGTTTTGGAACTGAATATCTACACACAACAGCCATACACACTCCTGTTCTCCAGGACTCCTGTAACTCCTGTTAGGGTCACTGCTCCAAGAGCACTTAGCCTTGTTTCAATCTCTTCAGACTCCCAAGATGTGTCTCTGTAAATCTTCCTTCTTAGGCTGCTCTATGGGTGAGGAGAAGCTTTAAGATCAAGAGCAAAGTTTTCTTTTTTCCTGAACTGAATCATTTCTGTTTTGTGACCCTTTAGATCAGCATTAAAGGCCCTGCAGCTAGGCAGCATTCAGGTTAGGGGATGTTTCATTGTAGGGAGCCTGAAATCTTGTCATAAGTCAATTTCCTCCAATATACCCTTTGCATTGCCAGGTAAGGTCACTAAATATTAATGAATATCAACAGAGTTCTGTGCAGGTCTCAGAGGATTTGCAGTTTGATAGCAATCATATCAGCATATGCTATTCACACAGCAGCTACATATTGTTTGTTCTGTATGGTAGCTGCTATCTTAAAAGAAATAATAAGTTAATGAAGGCACAAACTGAACAGAGCTACTTAGAAAAAATAATTGGTCCTAATATTAAAAAATGTTTTCTTTATGAAACATGCTGAGGCCATAGAAGCCATTATTTTATGAGGAAAATGTGAGCTTTTTGACTCACTGCATGGAGAAGGTAATAGGATAAGATTTGATTGGCAAAAACCAACGTGTGCAAACACAAATACAGAGGAAATAATAGTTTATTATTAAGATATCAGAATTCTTTAGAGGAGTGAAACTTGGAAATGAAGCATCTTTATTACTTGAACTGCAAAATTGAACTGGAGTAGTAGTTAATTTTGCTACTAATTATTCAACCCTGGTTTGTTTTTATTTGTATCTAAACTTTTTGTCATTGTTCTTAGTGCGTGTTTCCCTCAAAGTTCCATAACTGAATCTCTTTAGATTCAGAATACACAGGCTTTGGCTTTCATGTACGCTTATTTTATGAATGACAAACATTTTAATTAAAACTTCACTTGCTTTTCTTAAAAGATGCCAGTGGTACATAAAGGCCAAAATGAAGTCTGAAGAAAAAAGAAGGGCTCATCTGCAAAATGGACACTGTGAGTAGTTCAAAACTGAGTTACATGAAATCTATATCATGTTTGAACTGAAGTATATTCATTGTTTTCTGTACCTCTTTTGCCCCTGATTCTATAATCTGGCCATTTGAATAGATCCTTTGCCTCAAAATTCCACCCTTGGTATCCACATGCCTTGCTTGTATGGAGTTCTGAATGGCTGTCAGTGTCTTTTGGGATCTATACTTCCAGCCAACCAAGACATAAAAAGTGGAATGGGCTGCCTTTCCTCCCATTCCTTCTTGCTGAGCAGTAGCGTGAGAGAAAATCCTGACAATCTCCCTTGTGCAGTGTATTAGTTTGTTTAGTTTAGTGACTTAGTTTTAATTATGAGCATCACAGCTTCATGTTAGAGTGGCTAACTGAAGTGCTGGTTTACTCTTGGCTTATACAAAGAATATTATATTTTATTAATTTTTAGTAAGTTTTGAGAACTTCCTTGCCCCATACAGAAATATGATCAAGACAGAAGCTACATAAAATCTTTGTTTCAGGTGACACCACCATACCCAGCCAGGTAGCTGTTTCTGTCATGGGAAAGGGTACATTTCCCCAGAAAGGATACTTCTTAGAAAGATATGTTAGTCATTTGTTTCCATACACAATAAGAAAGGAGAGAAAACAAAACCCTTCCTGCTGGAGAGTTTGATATATGCCTCTGAGACCATGGCTGAATTTGAGAAAAGTCTCAATCTCTTTCAAGCTAGGGTAAACGATGACCCTACGTCATGCTAACACAATGCTTCTTCTCGAAGGCTTCTCATTCATTTGCAGTTACCTCAGCATCAGACTCGAGGGGGCATGAGTGACATGCATGTGTTCCACAGAACCAAGGATAAAGAGGAATTTTACTGTGATTTAACCCTAACAGCTAGGACTGTGTTGTCAGTGCTACTCTTTCCTTGACCCTGAGCACTCAGTGCCTCCTCCATGCTAGTGGCAATCCTTATCTGCCTGCTGACTACTGCTAGCGAGCCTCTAGAGTTGGTATCCAAATCTCAGCCTGAAACAATACCTTGGGCTGGGCAGTCCCTACTGGGATCGGTATAACGGTGACATCTCCTAGAGAGGCTGAAGCTGTTTTAAAAAAAAGCTCTGCTGCAAAAACTGGTTAGCAACAGCTGTGCCTACCCCCCCAGCTCAGTCCTGTTGGTGCTTTCTCACCTATTCTTCTGCTGTCCGCAGAGGAGAACCATCTCCTGTTCATCCACCCTTTCTCCCTCAAGAGCTCAATGAGAGCCAGAGACAGATTTCAGGAAGTAAACTAAGAAGGGAGTGAGAAAGGGGTCGATGATCTTATTGATAATATGACATCCCATGATCTCTGATGTGCTCCCCATTTCTCTACGTTAAGTGTACTCTGTCAGCATTGGTGCAAAGGCTGTTGCAGACTACTCAGTGAAGCCAAACGACATTCATATGTTCTGAGCTGGGTCGTCTTCACCTAAAAAGTGTATTTAGGCTAATCGCCAACGAGGCGCTTTAGACTCAGCTACTAAGTGATAAGAGGAAGAAGGTAGAGAGGTACTTAATTCTCTAAAAAGAGGTTTTCTGTACCCAGCTGCATTACCCTCCTCTTGTCCTGCTAAATCAATGCAGTATCTGCATCAGCCTCTGCTGATGAACTGAAAGTTTTCCAGAACTTAATTACCACATGGCAGTAGCCTTTAAATTTCCCATCCAGATAGTCCAAGAGAAACAACATAAGTTCTTGGACATCCTGCACTCAAGACCATGAGGGACATTAGCCATGCCAGGAAATGATGGCTTGCTGGAGTCTGCCAAAGCAATCTGGCACCAACCCACTAGTGCTGCAGCCATCTGCAAAGAAGCAGACAGAAGTTATCAAAGCCTTGTAAATGGATTTGGATATTTTTATTCTTGTCTTGCACCTGGCTCTCTGGTTGTGCAAGTTCATCAGGCGGGAACAAAGCAGCACGGTCCTCCAGGACCTATCTTCAGGGAAAAGGCTCTCAAAAATTGGACCTGTTTGGCAAAATGAATATTCAGCCCTCAGCCTGTAAATGAAGGGAGTAAATTAGCAAGCTCTGTTTTCAAAGTAAAGGACAGATTGTCTAAATTGTCCAAGGAGCAATAAAGGGAACATAAACTGCTTTGGCAGTTATCACTGTCCTTGTTCAGGACCTGCCTTTCCCTGTATCTTTGAGCCCTCACCCAGTATCTCCATGGACGGCTCAGAACTCACTGCGCTTTCCAGCCTTCCTACTCACCGGCTGTGCTCATTGCATTCTTTCAATACTTCTATATTAAGTGTAGAGACACCAAGCAGCCTTTTCAGAATAAAATGCTACATAATAATTGGAAAGGAAAGGCTTGCAATAACAACAACTTGAATGTACTTTGTCTTACCTAAAAACAGCATTTCCGGGAAAACTTAGGTAGGCCTGTCATTGTAGTCCTCTTTTCTAAGGAGAAGTTCCCAAGAACTTTGTTGTGCTCTTCATTGTCCTGCCCAAAATGCTATACCTCCAGAGATGCTTGTGTCTAGCTGGGACAGAGACCAAACAGCAATCGAGTTTGACACTGTCTTATCACTTGAATATCAAAGACTTGAATACCAAAGACTGAGTTTTCTGGAGCCCCTTGAATTTGTGTTCCTGTAGGACAGGATTAACTCTTTGCACCTGTGTATGCAGCAAAAATGGCAGTACCTGAGCAGGGGTATACATAGCATTCAGAGAACCTAGTCCCTGTATTTTCTCGATTCTTTACACTAAGACTGGTTATCAGTTATCGTTACAAGCTGAAAGGATATTTGATGTGAAATTGCATTCAGTAGCTATTACACCAACCCTGAAGAAGTATGCATACTTTCAGTCATCCAGAACATCTCAGGAGATTTGAGCAGGATCCGGCAGGACATTTCTCACAGTTTCAGGTAGTACTTTTGAATGCTTCTGATCTTACAGACATGGCATGTGTGCACCAAGAGAGGAGCCAGGACTGAGCAAAGATAATTACTGTAGGTCATTCATTTTACAGAAACTTCTTACTTCTGGGGAATAAAATAGATTGCATTTGCCAAAAATAACCATGAATAAATAAACTGGCTTATTTGCCGTTGTCGTTCTTTCCTTAATAGCAATGCACTCAGAGATCTTAAGTGTATTGACTGAACTATGGCATGTTAAGGGATTCAGGATTTGTCTGCATCTCAGTCAGAAATGAAAATATTGGTCTTGATCATCTCATTCACAGTAGGGTTCAGTTCTTTCACGCTTTGACATATGGAGTAGTAGTACCCTTATCTGCCAAGTTTGTATAAATCTCACTGACTCTTGCTCTAATGCTTGTACGAAGCAAGGTTTGACATAGTGAGACCTTGAGTTACAAAAAGAATTAAAGACATTGAAGAATTAAAGAATTAAAGAAAGACATTGAGAATTAAAAGGAGGACTAAAAAGCACCTTTAATTTTTAACTAATTAATGGCTCAGTGGCTCAATGTTGGTAAATTGTGTGAGACTGGCAGAGGTTTACCCTCTATCTATGCAGATGTAAGACCCAGCTCTTAAATGTCTCACTAGCCTCAAGAAAAAAGCCACTTGTAGGGTAAGAGGAAATGTTTAAGTCTGACTTAGTCAATCCTTGAAGTCAGTGATACTACTAGCAAATGGAGCCAACTCATGTGGCTTCTACAGTTAGTTTCTGTGAAATTAGTACTATTAGTAATTATCGTTTTTTCTTGGGTCCGGGCACTTTAAAAGTGAAAGTTTTCATGTATTATTACCAATCCTTTCAGTTGTCTAGCCAAACAAAAACAACTCAACATATTGTTATAGCATCTGAACGTCAAAGAATTCTTAATTCCTAATATTCTCCCTTTTTTGCAGTACGTTTCCCAGGAATCAAAACATATATTGATCCAGACACGTATGAAGACCCATCTCTTGCTGTCCATGAATTTGCAAAGGAGATAGATCCTTCAAGAATTCGTATTGAGAGAGTTATTGGGGCAGGTAAAAGCACACTCACTTAAAAAAATGCAGTTGTGTCATAACTGTCTACACGTGGGAAGACTGCTTTTCTCAAGTCACTGTCATACTGCAAGTGATCAGGTACAGTAGAAAATGCGGGCACATTTCTCTGATAGACCAGTTCACTCTGAAGTGTCTTTCAGCTTCTGATCTAAAGTTCCAACAGTAGCCAGTTTCCCTATCCTGCTGCTATCAAAAGATCTGTAGGTGCCCACTCTTCCATACATCTCAGTTATTTCAATAAGGTTTGGTACAGACAGGATTCCTAAATAAATGAGAAACTCGTGACCAAATTGACACTTCATTATGATCTGACTACGATACTGGGCTTTTCTAACTCAGTCCCTGACAGGGTACTTAGAAAAAAATTTAAGAAAGTAGGCATAGGTAATCTAACCTTATTCATATACCCTCTTAAAGTTTAGTAGTCAGTGGTTTGGGGCTTCCTGAAAGTACGTAATGGAACTATCCTCCAAGAATTTTTACAGTCCTTTTGTTGAACCTGCCAGTAGTTCTGCCCTCCACAGTGTCATGTGATCATGAGTTTTAGACCATGATTAGGCACTATGGGAAAACATAGCAACTTGTATTTGATTTGAATTTGCTGTTTGGTGAGTTCACTGAGTGATCCCTTTTCAGTAAAGATTTGTTTGATAAAGCCACTGGATTTTCTCACATCAAAGTCCATATGAGTGACAATAATGAACTTTAATACATAACAGTGAGTTGTGGGTTAATAGGTCCTCTTTTAGTTAGGAGAGGCCAGTGCTGTCTTTCCTCTTTTGTCTTCTGTGGAGGGAAGACAGCAACTACTGTAAGCGGACCTTCACTCCTCCTGCCCTCAAAAGATTCATATCTGGCAATATACAGGTCACTGGAAAGAAAATTACACTGATTCTGGGAATGAAGAATGAAGGAGGAGTTTCAGAGTTTTTTAGCTTCTACAGAACTTCAGATTTCTGAGCTTTAATTAGAGGACAAAAAGAGGAGGAGGGAGTTCTGTCGGCCTACTGAAAAGATTAACGGAAAAATCTGTTGCTGTTGGTCTGTCTTTCTCAATCAAGATATTCCCAAAAAAACCCAGAAAACAAGAAAGATAACTTGATCCAATTAAAAGGTACAGCAGAGAATGAATAGTTACAGACTAAGTAAATAGCGTGATTGGCACATAGTAGGAAAAGAAAAACAAATATTATTGGAAAACTGGGTTGATATTTTTCTCTGTCATAAGGGAACAGGAGCCTTGCTGTGTTTAGATTTTTTTTACAGTCTACCTCTTCTAAGATAGAGATTAAAATCCATATACCTACCTAGAATTTTGTGGTGTTCAAGAGGTATTGTATTAGGCTAATGTTCCAGTTGTGGGTTTATTTAAATAAGGAATTCTTGAAATGCAGAACCCTTGAAGTTCTTTATCCCATACCTTTTTAAGGCTTTTATCAATTGTTTCAGTGTGTTCCAAATGTACTCAAAACACTGTGTCATGCAGTGTTTGCCACAGTTAGCATCACATGTTCTCTGTCACTGAGAGGAAAACAGCCTTTGAAACTGTTTAAAGAAAAAAGTTAATCTGTCTAGCTTGCACTGGACGTATACAAAATAGTTGAAAAATATTTTAGCTTGCTTATTTACATGTAAACTGAGAACTTTTTAAGGGAATGCAGGAGCTGTTGACTCGAACTTCAGCATAGCCATTGTCTGTTCAAATCCAGCCTTCACAGTATTGGGATGGGGCAGGAAGACAGGAAGAGATTTCGCTATGAATCTGTCAAAGGTGTGGATTAATTTCTTAGGGGGAGATGAGGTCGAAATATGGAAGACTGAACCAAGTCTTAGCTTTGGGTTAATTGTCAGGTTTTGCTAGTCATGGAAGTGCTGTGCGAGTGTTCCCATGCATTCACTTTTGCCAAGCCTTTGTAGGAATGGTGTTCTCACAACATGCTGCTGAAAGGGCTCCTGAACTGCTGCCAGAGTTCACTAGAGCTTCTAATAGTGGGCAGCTCAATGGCAACAGCAGGAACGCCTTTGTGGCTAATGCAACAAAAGTGAAATACCTGCAAAGATCAGTGTCTTGTAAAACCATTTATTTTAACTTGTGTCCTGACGCTCTAGGACAAATGGCAATTCACTGTTTACCAAGTACTGAGGTTATTTGCTCTCTGTTCTACCGGATTCTAGTTTGCTGAGGAGTTAGAGAAAGATGAGGCTAGAAAGGGCCTCAGGAGATTACCTAATCCCGTGGATCTCAATCCATGGTTTGTGACCATCATGTCATTCAGAAGGCTCATCAGCATTTCTCACAGCTGTAGCAAATTTAAACAAAAAATTGGCTGACAGGGAGAGTACAGTCTGAAGTTCCCTGTGAGGCATTACATCCTCTGTGTTGTTACCCACACACTGTCAATGATTGGGGAGCAGTGATCTTTTCTTAGCCCCAAGAGAAAGGGAAAATCTGAGAACTAAGTGTCAGTGTCAGTAATTTTGATGAATATAGCAACAAAATCCTGAGCTCTGATTCCATCTCTGAAGTTGCATTTGTCATTGAGAAAAACATTCACACTCTGTCTGTCTTCAGTTTACACAATATAGATAATTATATTCCTCTGTTATCAATAAGATGTTTTTAAGAATGACTTGAGTTTTGTAAATGTCTTAAAGGTGCTTGTAATACTGACTGCAAGGCAAACACCAGCTGGTAAAATATTTTGGCTTCAGCTGACTGTAACTTTATTCCAGTAGCAATAGTTAGTATGTTCCATATATCACTGCCCATCTTTGATCTGTCCCTTCCTGGCATTCTTTAACAGTAATATTTTATTGCTTAATAAGTAAATACCAGCATACAAAAGCTAAATTTATACTTTTTTTACTTTCTCTAATATTAACACCATCAATAAAGGAAGAAAAATAATTTATGCTACAACAAACTGCAAAAACCATATGGTCATTTCTTGTAGAAGGGGGCCTGTGGAAAAAAAAGAATGAGTCTAATTTGTTCATGGTGAGCCCACCACAGAATTCATGCTCACAAGTATTTTTGTGCATCCTTATCAGAAGGCATAATGCCCTATGATCCTTCTTTTTACTTTTGTTTAATGTATCTTAATCACTTGAGAGAAGAAAGGTATTTTTCAGTTGAGATCTGTCATTTAATGATATATTACTAGGTTCATAGCAGTGGAAACATCTCCAGTTTTGCTCAGAAGTGTTTTCCGCACTAGAAAATGTCATGCAGATAATATAACAAAAGTAAAATCTGGTCTGTTAACAAAGCGAGAAAAGGAAATATTGACCTGGAAGTACGAAAATTCTGTTCTACTCTGCAGTCCAGGTAGCTAGAGTACTTTAGAGTTTATCTGTTTACTTAAGCCGAGTAATACGTAGTTGCCACTGTGCACCATTGGAATTACTAGCTTGAGAGAGCCCCTAGAGGGCTGACTTCTGCAGAAAACATTTGATTTCTCTTATTTCTTCCTTTTTTGAGATATACTGTAGGTATTGATGTCTTAGATTATAAAGCATATGGAAGTAGATTCAGGATTGGTATGACTGCTGATTTTAAAGGAGTTGAATACAACAGAGAAGGATTAAGCTTGTTGTTTTTTTTGTTCAAATGGAAATCGTGTCCCTATTCTCAGCTTACTTCATTTAAAAAATTCCTTACTCAGCTTCCCTATCCCTTCTCTTATATGTATGGGAGTGAATTTTTGCTTGCTCTAACACATCTTGTTTTTATAATTTTAATCTTGTAAAACTGCTTGGGTAATCTATCTTCTAAGATGTTTGCCTAGTAGAACCTGGAAACTGTTTACAATGTTATTTAAACCCACTTCCATGCCAGCAGTAAACAGGGTAAGTATTGTGCCTGAGGCAAGAAAGTACAAATTCTCATGCAGTTCTTGGATAGCTGCTGGGGGACATAACATATCGTTATAATTCACAGCAGTCCTGAAGCCTCCTTTATGCCTTCTCTCTGATTCTGTACTAAACGTTGCATCTGAGTGTAAAATAGATTTATCATCACAGGAAAATTACTTTTAAAAGATGTTTACAATTTTCACCTAAATTAAAATATTTTACAAAATGACACATCAAAACAATTTAAAAAATGAGTTAATAGGTGCATTTCTCAAATTTCTATTTTATTTGAACATTTTATTTTGATTGATAATTTTCATGTTTACTTTCCATAACTAAGCTTTCAAATCAAAAATTGCTTCCATTCAAGAATGAAAAGTTTTCATTTTGAAAATGTCAAAGTCAAATATTCCAAATATTTGACTTTTTTCTAGCATTTTTAGTCAAGAAATTTTATGAAACTGATCTTTTCTGTGAGCACTTTCAAGTTTAATTTTTCAGTGGAAAAAACTATGTCCAAAGTTCTTGACAGTTCACTAGTTGCAGTGCAGATGACCGTGAGACTCAAGACAAGTTTTTTACCCAGCTTCTTTACTCAGCTTGCCCATCCCTGCACCCATGTTATCTCTTTAAGTATTTGGTAATTAGAATTTTGTATGACGTGAGAGTTGAAGATGTACACTTTATTATATATTTCAGTATTTTTGTCTCATGTTTCAGTCTCTCTCTGCTTAAAAGTACAAAATCTCAGAACCCCTGACTGTATTTATCTACTTACCCTCTGTTGCAGGGGTACATCTGAATGCCGTACAAGATATTGAGATTTCTTTGGAGTCATTGATTAGCCATGTTGCACAGACAATTTGGTCTAGTCCTTTTGTGCCAAGTAACAGTAACCTAAGGGCAATATTAACTATGTGACATTTGAAAAAAAAAAAAAAAAAAACCCCAACTATCTAAAATCATTGCTTACAGACTGACTGATGATATTTTTCCATTAGATATTAAAACAGATTCAGAAAAGGTGGCAACCAATGGTCAAACTGGAAAAGTAGCAAGATCTTTAAGCCGCGATGGCAGACTGGAAAATGAGCATTTAGTTAGTAGTAATAAAGATGAAGATGATACTTTGCCTGCAAGTGTCAAAAGCATCATAGCCAAAATAAAAATAGTCATGTCTATACATTTGGTGATAGATTTAATAAACATTCTGAGTTCATATCGTTAGGAGAATTATAAAAGCAAATATAAAACAGCAGCTAGTTAAGAAAGGATGCTGAGCTCAAGGATTTTCTTTACTTTGAGAAAAAATGGATGAGGGTGATGTATTGTTAAAATCCTTTCTGAACTCCTCTTAGTGGACTTTTCCTAAGCTGATGTTGTTGAATAGGGACACTATATTGCATGGAGCCAATTAGTTTAACTTTTGATCTCAGCTCTCCCTTTCTCCTCTGGAACGCTTTTAGTGTCCCAGTACATCTGCAGACTCTCTGAATTACTGTCCTTCCTTCTGATACTTTGGTGCAATTAAAGCATGTAAAATACAGGCTTTCCAAACTTTTCAAACTTCACTCTTAGACATACTCCGCTGTACACACAGTTTGTGGTTTAAGATAACAAAATCTGCTAATAAAGCCAGATTCAGGAAGGATCTCCGGTCAAGTTACTTCCCCTCAGTGGCTTGAAATTCCCCATCCCATTCTTCAATACCTTCCTCTGAGAAAACATTTGCTGTTGTATGGAGCTTTCATTTGAATGACAGATCATCCAGGTTAATACCTGTTAGCATTCTCTATTGTTAGCTCTTCAATAACTTATGCTGATACCTAGTTCATGCTGGAGGGTAAAGTCAGTAGGTCTTGGGGTTTGTAGTAGGATCAAATATGCATTCATAATAGCAAGCATATTACGATAGCAAAGGCAAGACAAAACACATTTGTAAATGTTTTTCTTATGTTTCTCATGATAGCATCAAAAAAAAATAGGTTTTAATGAAGTTCACATTCTAGCAACAACTGCAGTTTAAATGGTGAAACTGATTGCTACATTCCCTTTTGTTACAACCACTACTTATGGCAAAGTTTTTCTGTTGCTTTAGTTTGATGTTATATAGTCGTGACTTCAAAGCTCTTGGTGGAGTTTTATTGTCATTAGTATTAAATATTCCATGACATCCCATGGGTTCAGCTAGTCAAATATCACAGAGATCACTGAGTGCCTCTTTGCCAGTTCCCACAACTTCCCTATCTGTTCATTGCTATAGATGTTCCTCACATGATCCCTTTCAGTCTCTTTTCATATTAAACTTGCTGCTCTTAGCAACCTGCTGTAATATCCTGAGTTTTTTCTGCGCGTAACACTTTGGGCAACCCCGTCACTTCTCACTCTTTGGTTTAAAGCTTAAACACCTCCTCGTGCAAGGAATTCAAGGACATATTTTGTCGCTTCTCTCTTCAAGCTTGTATTTGTCCTTTTGCTTTCTTTGTTAAGAATTGGAAACTTCAGGAAGAGGCCAAGTCTTTGACTGAGACAGCAGACTATATTCTTTTTATAATCTAAATCTTATGCCAGTTCTCCCACTCCAGCATTTAAAGTCTTATGACTACAAGGCCTTATGACTAAAACTGGGGAAAATGAGTTGAACTGTACTTGGTGCTGCCATCTTTGAGTTCAATCAACAGCAGCTGTCTTTGTTTTAAGATATTTGTTGCAAGATATTTGTTTTGACCCTATGTAGTAATACCACATGCCAACATGAGTCTGCATATCAGACTCATAAGTGACTGACTATTCCTGTTTCATTTTAAACAACATGTGCTTTATGACTAGAAAGAGAAAAGGTGTGCATGGCTCACACAGGGCAAGCTTCTAGACTGCTCAATTATCTTCTTTTTGCGTAACATGCGATAAGGCATGTCAGTTTCGTATCATGAAAACAGGGATTATTTAAACATTATTAAAACTGAACAGACAATGAACTCTGTCGTTTTCTCTAGTTATCACCAGCTTTTTCCCTGGAGCAAGGAAAGACGCTGACTTCAGTGACATCTGGCTCTTAGCTTCTACTTATTACACATGCAGTCATGAACCTTTACTGCTGCAGGGTCAACATTTGTCTTGTTTATCTTCAAACTTGAGCAATCAGATGTAGATTCAAGAAGAAAAATGTGTCCCTATTGTAGAATATATTTTCCTTTGTTTTAAAAAACACTGAAAAGTCTTTCTTTAACAGAAGACTAGCAAAAATACTTTGGAATTGCATCTTGTCAAAACCTTTTTCAATGGAAATAACTCAATGCTCAGTGCTTTGAATTACATCTCAACCTAGTTTAAACCAGAAACAGAAGTTATTATGTGTTCCAGAAGTTTCTAAGCATAGTAACTGTCTGTTCTGTGAGCTGATGATCATTTACTATCTGACTGAAAAATCTCTACATCACAAAAAAATTGCAATTAGGATCTTTATGTTTGCCAACTTGTCAATCCCAGTATCCACAGGGAGTGAAATTTCTTTCTACTTGTACAAATGGTACATCCAAAAAAGAGGAAAGAGACAGGTCAGGAAGATGACACAACGTTCCTTCCTGTGCTTTGGATGTTGCACGGATAATAAGTCTTGGGATTGTAAGTCGTTTACTTGCCTCCTTCCATAACAGTCTAATTCACTTCAAAACTGTTGGCAAACAGGTTTTCCCAGTCCCTGGGGCATGAATGTTATTATTTCTGAAATTCTGAAATTGCAGTACTGTCCTGTATAATCTTATAATAGCACAACATTTTATGCTATAACCTGTATGGTCCAAATGTTGCTCAAAAATGAGATTTTGCAATGCTGCAGATTTCCACAGTCATGAAATACCTTTGACATTGGTTGTTTCATTGCGAGTAAGAAATTGGAAGTCTTTCTAATTTTAGGCATTTCAACTTGAAGAGCCATTAAGATGCGGTAAGGTCATGGCTCTCGAGATCAGTTTGAACACTGCTGGATGTATCACAGAGCAGAGGACTGATATATGATCTCTCCTTCAAAACATTCAGGTTTCATGGTTTTGTTTTATGGTGTAATTTTGGAAGTCTAAGTCACCTACTGCTCCTTCTGTGGCAATAGTCAGGCAAATAAAATTTTAAGCACAGCGTTCTAAAGGGTAAAAGGGATCAATCTCATAGGAAACTTGCTAGCCAACTTTCCCTTTTGCCCTGAGATTTCCAATAGCATTAGTCTGGTGACACGCATTTCCACACACAGAGACACATCTTCAGAGAAGCGCATATTTTGTTTTACTTTCAAAAATTAGGTAAAAATAAGAACAAATAGGGTCTTTTTGGTAGCTAGCTCTACCAAGCTTGACCCTTGACCTCTGTTAGCTGCTAACGTATTCATAGGTTATGTTCAGCATCTGTTATTTGTACTCTTGCACTTGCTGATGTCTCCCTGTTGAAACAGAAGACAAGTGACGACATTGTTTTTTTAATCCCTGAGCTCCTCCTGGATCTTATTGGCTAATAAAACCTTGTTTTGCTTTATAGTGAAAGTGACAGAGCCTAATGAAATAAAGTTTGTATGATGATATCCATTCTAATCCTATAATATCAGAGAGTTATAATTTTCTAAAGTGAAGCTTGCATCTCTCACATCTATCTTTTCTGCGTTCAGTTTATATTTGAAGATACTGTTACATGATAGAGCTCTCCTGTTTTGTTTTACTTTGTGCTGTATTTAAACATTAAGGCAAACTAATTCGGATAGCCCTCAGTGGAGGGGGAAAGAAATGATTTCTTCCAGTTAAATATGTAACAGTGTTTGTGACTTTTTTTTGTTTGTTTTTCAGCAGTTCTGATTCCAAAATGGCTGGGGTAGAGAATTTAATTTTGGTATGGAGCTACCTCTCACTGAGCAGTGCTTTGAAATATTTTTGTGAACATAGATTTTGATTTAGTGAAATATGCCCCATTGAAAACTGACCTGCAGGCATCCAGAGTATATTTGGTATGGGTTTTAAATAACTTTTGGGTGACTTCAAGATCAAAGAAAAGGTGTGAGTTACGTACGGACTTAACTAGTAAATGTCCAAAGGGAATGCGAGGAGACGTGCGTTCTTCAAAGGCCCTACTTACACAGGCAAATATCAGGTGAAGCAAGCTTTGAGGTTCCTCTCGTTACTGCGGTTCAGTCCTGATTTGCCGAAACTGTTGGCCTTTGGGTGTCAGAACACTGAAATGTGTCATTAATTTCAAGTAGGCTCGTAGGTTCCATTTAAATAAATCACGTGCAGGTGCCTTTCTGGGGAATAATAGCATTAAGTACGTTTTTAGATGCTTTCCACGTTTAGAGGAAAGTCAGTTATTTTGATATTCTCACAGCATTTCTTTTAATAAAGATCTTTGTGCGTGTCATCCTTTAAAAATATCTACAGATAGATATTCTGTCATCACTGTAACTAAAACCTAAGCTTCATTGCATTACTTCCTCATAGCATGCTCAGTTATACTGCAAGCATATTGATATCAAAGTTCAGTTTCAAAGTATCAGTAAAGCAAAGATGAACCACGCTGGAGAGGTCACATGGTTTGGCTATAACAACGAAAATACAAGTCCCCTTGATCTCGTGGTAAAGACATAAATAAAAGGTGACTGTTTCCTGTGATGTAATGCTGGATGTTTTGCCTAAGGGGGCTATGGGGGAACTCAGGAACCTGAATATCCCATCCTTTATTCTGCTCTGTGGGACATGTGAGTTTCTTGAATATTTTGTGTTCTTGTTGCACTGATCACTATAAACAATTCTGAATTATTAACAAAAGACAGCATTGTTTCAGTTCATTAGTTCTAAATGTACTGTAGTTCTCCAGGCACTGTGAATGATATAACAAATGTTTTATCTGTTTAAGGTGAATTTGGAGAAGTATGCAGTGGACGTCTGAAGACACCAGGAAAGAGAGAGATACCTGTTGCAATTAAAACTCTAAAAGGTGGCTACGTGGACAGGCAGAGAAGAGATTTCCTGAGAGAGGCTAGTATCATGGGACAATTCGATCACCCAAATATAATCCGCCTTGAAGGAGTGGTTACAAAAAGTAAGTTACTATTTATAGCTTTTTATTGTTTTTTCCCATTCCGTGTCATTTAGTATTAAAATTAAGAATCATTTCCGTATTCAAGTATGGATAGTAATGCTCAGAAATGATCCAAATCGTAAAGGGATAGCAGATACTGTAGAGTTTGGGACCATAGTATGAAAAGTGTAGCCTATCTGTTTTCAATTAGTTTTTTTTTTTTAAATAAATATCCTCCTCCACATTCAAAAAAATACCTTTACAGGTTCTTATAAAACAGCATTGCAGTGTATGTTTATGGGCAAATGGTATACAGTAGAGAAAGCCATGAATGTAGCTGAGTTGACAATGAAGTCAAATCACTTTATATAGAGAGTTAGAAAGGTAACAGCTGTATTATTCTTTTCCCACAAGGACTCTTTTTTTTATTCTGTTGTGTTTCACCGATACGGGTACCAGAAGGGATTAATTTCCTATCTGACAGGAAAAAAAAAAAGTTAACTCTTTTAATTTTTTTGTACACTTGCAAATGATTCACTAAAATTCCAGAATAATCTGTGAAATGTCTTACTCTTTATACCTGTTCTGGCTGCCAAGAGGCTAACAGTCCCTGGTCTCTGAAGTCTAGTATTTTTAGCTGGGTTATGAACTTTCCTGAACTGCTGAAATATGTAGTGATTATTTAAGTACTAGGTAGAAGTTGTATTAAGATGCATGGAATTTCTTTAATGCCAACTTTTTGCAGTATTGAATTACAAAACTCATAAGGCATACTCTTCTGAAAATTAATCATTGTCTCAACCAACCCATATTGTTTGCCGATTTCCAGTGCTTTATGTTTCTCATTTAAAGTGGATTTAGAGCTGGTGGCAAGATACTGTGTTGCTTGTAGAGGACGATGACATGTTCTTATCTTCACAAAACATAAAGTAAATATGCTTTGAATGTTTTGTTTTTACCTTGTTACAATGCTCATAGCTATGTTTGGAAAACACAACCTACTAGAGTAAAGCAGAAATTACAGTTCTTGAGCTCCTGTCATTGGAACAGAATTTCAGTAGATACAGGACGACCTTGTGCAAGTCAATCTCTCTGTGGTTCTAAATTAAGATAAAGAAGATCAAAATCTTTTTTACTTCATACAGTATTGCAAGGATAAATTCATTAATATTTAGGAGTATTTGATTATTAGACTAATGAAATTCATTGCATTGCAGCCTTGTGGAAGGGTATAGTTAGTCTCCATTGCTCTCCAGTCACTGGCTGCTCCACTGACCATAAGCAAGAACACAAGTTAGCACTGGCTGAACAGTGTTGGATGTCTTTGTTAGGGATGTAAATATGTAGGAACTTAATTAAAATCAGTTCCTTACTTCATAATGAGCAGTATAGCAGCAATTAACTGCCACCAGTCTTCACCAGTCTGGACAGTTTATGAACCAGTATCGCAGATACAACTAGAATCCATGTCACGTTTTGCTGTTTGATCTAGTAGTGAATGTCTCATTTCTGGAAAAGGCTGGAGGCTGTGATTTACGAACATTGTTTAAATCCAATTAGATGGTGCACACAGAGTACAGTATAATGTACTTGGCAATGGCATGATTGTTTAATCTTTGCCACATTTATAAATTTCCTTTCTGTAACATCTCATCATCAGTCTAGAGAGAAGTGAAGTATGCATTAAGGAAACAGAAACAAACAGATAGATCAGTGCTCCAACATTAGAGTGTTTGTTCCTGTTCTACCGGAAAGTGGTTATAGGCAACCTTAAGTCAAGAAGTCTTCATTAATGGTTGTGCCTTTCTCTGAGGAGTCAACACGCTTTATTTTTTTTTTTTTTGAATGTTTGCTCAGAGATAATATAAGAATAGCAGATGTTACTGTTATCGTTACACAATCCTATAAAAATATATGTCACTGTGAGATAGAAAATAAACAGAAAAGGTTCTAGAGCAATGTTGTTTGGGGCAGGGAGGTAAAATTTAAATATGCATAATTGCACAACAGTAGTTATAGAATGAAAAGGGTACATACATTAGTAACAAATTTCACTCCGAGGCCTGAAAAACGCACATATTATAAAGTGTAAAGTACAAAGTTGTGCAATACTGCTACACTGCAGAGAAAATGCTAGGAGGCAGGTTGAACACTTGGCGTATGCACTCTGCTATGCTCGTCTTTTGCCACTTTATCTTTAGGATGTTGCCTTGCTTCTGTACTGCTTCCTCCGTGGTTTCCTTAGAATATTCATGGCTTCAGCTGGGAGCAGAATAGCGTTTTTCCTAAATGCAGGATCTTGGATTGCATAGGCCAGCCAGGGACAGAAATTTCCTATGACTAAAAGGTACCCTATAAAAGTCAGACAGAACCTTGTCCTAGTCAACTTATATATGTAATGATAGCATGATGAAGAGGTGTTTTGTATTAGAAGATTAATAGTGGCAGAAACTATTTATCTGATGTGCATTACAGTTCCACTAACCTGTAAAGGCACATCGGATGCAGTAAGTTTGATTAATAGAAGTGTAATGCTGTTTTTAGCACATCCTTTCCTATTTATAACTATTAGTCATGAAGTTCTAGCAGCTGTTAATATATATTACAGTTTGTAAGCAGTACCTTCCGTTACAGTGTCATTGACTATTGAACAAAAAAGAAAAAGGATTTGATTGTAATAAGCAGAAGAGCTCTACCAAGTCAATAGCTATTGACTGGGGCAATAACAAATTCCCCCGTACATTACAAATGAGAGCTTTTATCTGGTGCTACCAACTAAGCAGATGTTAACATTTATGTGATACTGTTTCCAAAATTGCTGTGGAGTATGTCCTGCATAGGGTGAAAAACGCTAGACTAAAACTGCTCAAAAGTAGGTCTTCAACAGAGTTTTGATTGTCTTTTCTGATTGTTTCATTTCTCATTTGTCCTAGCTACAGCTGCTAATCACAGAAAGCACTAGGCAGAGCAGTTGCTGCAGCACAAGCTTTCTGTTACCAGAGAGTTCATTTCAAGGGCAATTTGCCAGGCCCAGGCAACCATATCATAGCACAGAATCTGGATCCAATAGTTCACTTACACTGCTAATCAGAAGTCACAAAGGAAACCTTATTCCTGCTTGTTTTGCTTTAGCAACACCATTCCTTACATGGAGTGCCAGAAAAGGCTGCTTATTGCCTCGCAAAGTAATTGATGACGTATTCTTATGCACAATATAAAAAAAAAAAAAAATCCATGTCTCCCTTTCCAGTCATATTAGCACAGTGATAATTTTGGGAGCTCTTCTTGGGTGCCTCAGGGTATGCTCAGCTGATTTGTGTGTCATTATCCAAACTGCTCCTATTTCATACACAGGCATAAGAAAAATAAAACCTCTTTCTCCAGCATAAAGATATGTTACCAGCATGGAGATCTGAGCTATATAGGCATAAGACATTTTTCTTCCACTTTTGTATCATGTATCTGTGTTGCAGACCTTCCGAGAGAAGTCTGTAAAGTAAATTAAAGGTATGCTTACAGCATGCTTCTGCCAACATAACTGTGTCAACATGAGATATGAAAAAATGTGATCTCTGACTTTCATAACTGTACTGGAACTGTACTGTACTGTATTATATTCATTGGTGTGGGTACAGTTACACTAGCCAAACTAGAATCTACAGTAAGTTTAGTTGGATGATATATTTTATAATGGTTTAAAGCCTTGTCAATACAGTCTAATACTGTATCGGTATAAAATATAAAGGCTTGTAAGTAAGTGCTTTATTGTAATCATAATCTTAATTTGTTCCTCCCCCCTCAGACTTTTCCCCAAATGACTTTCACTTGCTAAAATTAACGAATTTTAAAAAGCCAAAAAATAAGCAATTTAAATTTCTAAGGAATTGCTTCCATTGCAGAACTTTGAATATCCACAAAAAGAGGATGAAGGAAGACAGCAGCTAGATATTTAGTTCTTTGGCAGCCCACATGCCCATAACATTGAGCTGGGGTTTAGAATGACACCTACAAATCCTTCATTGTCCCCTGACTGTTTTGCTTTAGCAATTTTCAGAATGGGATTGGTATTCCAGCTCTGAAACCTATGGTCAGACATCTGGCAGATGCAATTCAAAGCCTTAACCACAGAGCTTCTTTTTAAATTACTGTATATAATCCGTCCAAAGTCAGAATGTTGAAAATTTAAGAGTTAAACCGTGACTCTGAATTTGGCTACAGCATGTTAGCTTACAAAATATCAGTAGGATTGTATACCAAAAAATGAGGCCTACATTGCAGTACTTACTGTTAGCTTCTGAAAAGTAAAACTCTTAGGGTCAGCAGAAAACATATGATGGTAATAAATCCCATATTAGCATTATAGTGTTGATTATAATCAACTATGTAACCAGTTTTGAATCTTGATGTTTACTTTTCTCAGTAATTTCAGTGCATCACTGAAGTATCACTGGCATCTGTAGGCACAGATTTACCTGTTGGAGGCTTAAATAGCTTCAGACCTACCCCTTGAACCTGCCTTTTGCGCTGGCAGACACTTGCACCTGCCTTAGGTGACACAGCAAGGCATCAAGGCATCATTCCCCTCTGAATATCTTCCATTTTGCGCATTGACAGTACACTATGACAGAGGGGGGTGGTGAGAATAAACGTGAGGTGTATTAACCAGAGAACTTATTTTAATGGCACTAGATGTAACGTTGAATTTGTCTGATGAAGCATGCTGTAGGTGTGCACATGATGATACACAAAACAGCAGAAATTGAGTTGTTTTACAAATCGTTCAGTAAGGGAGCTGCAAAGTTAAATATGGCTCACTGTCTGTGTTTGTGTGTGTCCTGCTTCATAGGTAGGCGTCACAATGCATTACTGAGTTCATGTTGCCATAGCCAACAAACGAACACAGAAACAACAGCCACCACCACCACTGTTCACTGGATTTACTAGGTCAGTTTATTAACATATAATCCAAAGTAAAGAGTTGAAAGTTAAGAGTTATGGACATGACCCCTGTAAAATAAACA